AAAAAGAAACATGTAATAAGAAATCACATTTTTTTAATGAATATAATTTCTACATACCTTTTAAAATATTTGAATTATTCTTCAACTCTCATTTTCTTCATCACTCACCAAAGGATTTTATATGATTTCATTGTGTTTATTATTGAAACTTTAAAAAACAAATTTCAATAAGAAATAAAAGAAAGTAAATGGAAGAGCAAATGAAGAGTTGGAGGTTAAACTTGGGTATACAAAATTACAAAAATAACCCGGGTTAATTATGAGCTATACATTTTTCATCAAGGGGAAAAAAAGTCTTTAACATATTCAACATTTAAAAAAATCAAAAAAATGAGAAAAAAGATAGGAGGGGTTCTAAGCATTAGAAGGTGCCACYTCATTACCTTTGGTTTCTTCTTTAATATATATATAGAAGCTAATATTTTCCAAACATGCCCCTTCCAATTAATCTTTATAAGCTACTTTATTTTTTTATTTTTTTTATTAACCCGAATATCTAACCCGCTATGCGAGCCGACTAATCTCATGACGACCACCTGCTTTGCATTACTAGAAAACTGGACATTTTCGGCGACTTTTCCGACGGACGATTTCCAGCGGATTTCCGACGGAAGTTAAAAAAGTCAACTTTTATAGACTTCCGCCGGAAATCCGCCGGAAAAATTAAACCGGTTATATTATCGGCGGATTTCTTAATCAAGGGTTAATTAATCTTTAAAAATTAATTAATATTTGAAAAAAATTTAAAAAAGATTTTTCCGGCGGATTTTCGACGGAAAATTTAAAAAAAATAAATCCGCCGGAAATAGTTTTAGAAAAATAATTTAAAAAAAAAAAAACCCTTTTAATCTTTTCCAGCGGATTTCCGGCGAAAAATTTAAAAAAATTAAAAAAAAATAAATCCGCCGAAAATAGTTTTAGAAAAAAATTTAAAAAATAAATCTTTTAATTTTTTCCGGCGGATTTCCGGCGGAAAATTTAAAAAAAAAATATCCGCCGGAAATAATTTTAGAAAAATAATTTTTAAAAAATAAAAAAAACCCTTTTAATCTTTTCCGGCGGATTTCCGGCGATGGCGGGAGGCGGAGGAGCGACGTTTGGCGGAGGAGGAGCGACAGAGGGTGGAGGCGGAGCGACGACGACAGAGGGAGGAGCAACATGATAGACAACTTCAAGATATGGCTGCCTTGGTTAGACAGCTCAGTCAATCTCAACATTTCCCCCTCCCACCACCATATTGAATATTGTCTTTTGCTTTGAAACAATTTAGTTTTGTTTATAACAATTTAGTTTTTGTTTRGTTGGAATAATTGTAGTTTCATTTTAATGTATGATATTTAGTTCTATTTCGCTTTTTTATTTTCAGTTTTAATATTGTACAGATTTGCAGGTTTTAAATATAGGTATTAAATACAGGTTTTAAATATTAATTTTAAAATAAATTTAAAATATTAATATTTTTTCCGACAGATTTATCCACGGGTAATGTTTATAATATAAAAATATTTAAAAAAAATTAAAATATTAATATTTATATATTTTTCCGGGTATTTTTTAAAATAAAAAATATATTCTTTTAGAAAATATTAATTTTTTTCGGCGAGAAATATTTCCGGCGGAATAATTTTTCCAGCGAGTAATATTCTGCCGGGATTTTTTTTAAATACTTAACCGTTTGTTAATTTAATCAAGATTTTATAAATAAACGGGCGAGGAATTTCCGGCGGCCGTGATCCGCCGGAAACAGGGAAAATCCGCCGGTTTTTCCGCCGGAAAAACAATCACCGGCGCCACTTTTTCCGGCGGATTTGGCCGCCGGAAAAAGTGGGTTTTTTGATAGTGTTGCATATAGCCCAGATTCACCGCATTTGAACTTACATAGTCACAAGGGGATTTTTATTCCTCCTTGGATTTGAACCTGTGATCTTCTGGTACTTTTGACCTTTGGAGTCAAGCTCAAACCAATCAAGCACTACACTTGTGGTTTATATACTACTTTATTTATACACGAGTTAATAGAAAACCAATCAAACAACCCATACGAGCATCGTGAATTTGTGAATCTAAATCTTTAGGAGAAAAAAATTAACATTTTATTAATTGTTTTGAATATTTTAATAATATAATTATATTGAATATTTTAACAATGTTATTTTTGTTCCTCTCAGGTTACTCGTTGGTTCGTTGGCATTTGCTTGCTTTGTTTCTTCTGATTTT